TGGGCCCCAGAGCCGGTCTGGACGCAGAGGCTAGAAGAAAAATCCTCTGCCCCCGTCGGGGATCGAACCCCGGTCGTCCAGCCCGTAGGTAGTCACTGCACTGACTGAGCTATCCCGGCTCATAAGAAATGCATTTAGTTTTGCAAACAGAATCAAATATTGGACCTCTTCAGTATAATACATATATTAAGGAGCGGATATGTTTTAAAATTCAACGAAAGTAGTGTCTGTGTTCATGTAAGGTAAACCACGTTCAGAGAGATGTAGAGAGGAGATGACGAGACTGGAGGAGGGTAGCTGAAACACAAATATGGGCAGATAGAGACTCCTACGTAAAAGTCAACCCATAAGCATAGGAGGAAGAGGACGATATGAGGAATATGGATTTAATCAGGCAAATCAGAAACTAACCTTTCTTCTGTCTTTGGCAGGAGACGACATACAGTCACTATCAATATGGGCACCAACGGCTATATCCGGCTGCTCTCCGCGCTTCGTAGGAATCGGCGTATTACACAGAGGGCATACAGGGACCTGAACATCTTTCTTGTATGCCAAAGGACAGTTGTGACTCATATAGCTTATATGTTCTTTGCTGCATAAATAAATAAAAGCAGAATTTATTTAATCTGCCAGCCATATTTATGTGTACATGTAAGGAATGATTTACACTGAAGCAAAATGTATTAAGTAACAGATGTCGCTTACAGAATTTCATTTCAATGTGAGCAATTCACATCAGAATGATGACATGCCACATTTAAAATCAGATTTGTATCTGGGAGCCTTCTACCAGCTATTCTGACAGGTTTAATGGTTTTCTTCAGTCATTCAAAGTAAAAGTTAGGTTAGTATTTCCAAATATGTTATAACAATCTCCTTCCAAAAATCTTTATTTATTCACCATTTATGATGAACTTCATATTACTCCATGCTACATAACCTACATAAACTAAATGACTGAAGTATCATAAATTACATGGCATATGGACAACCATGCAGTGAAAATTTTAGATAGTTGGTAAGAAAACTCATTATGAGTTTCTCAACTTGCCTTCATTAAATTAGTAACAATTATAATACCGAATTACTATTAGTTATCAAGTTAACATTTTCAAGCATGAAATATTATCAAAGATAAGCTAAAATGGAAATAAGAAAACCGAGAAACAAGTTCTGAATGGAAATTTCATGCCTGCTGTGATTTGGTGCTTACCTTCCACCCTCCCTCTAAGCTTCATGGAATTGTCTTGTCTTTTACAACCAGAAAAAAGTTTCCTAACCTAATGCACAATGGAACACATCAACTACTGAAAGAGACTCAGCAAACAAATAAATTCTAGATGTAATATTTCGCATGTTACATTAAAATCCTATATTACAGCACTTTTATTACTCACCAGAAAATATTTTCACAAGCATCACATTTCAACGGCAAGTAATCTGAAAGAAAAAAATTGATTTTATTATATACCTCGTTTCTAATGCAGCATAACGCCATTTTTAACCAAATATTATAGTAAGTACTGATACTGAGTACTTAAAACAAATTAATAAATCGGTCAAATTCTTCAAAATTGTCTTACCTAGCTGCTTACAAGTTGCATCTGAGCAATGCTGTCCCAAGTTCGGAAATTCCATCTTCGAAGTTAAACCAAAAATGTCTTCACTCTTTGGACGGTCGTTCTACATTAAACGCGTGTTCAAAATATTACTTGAATTTATACTATCTTGAAATACTTCCAGAAACATTCTTACGTGACTCATTTATGAAATATACCAGTCATTTCTACTTGATGCAATGTTCTACTACAACAAATAATACCAACATTCCCTTGTTCAAAGTAATGTTAATAAAACTTCTGCTTTTCTTCAGTTGCTAACTATAAAAATAATTTTGTACCAATATACAGATCTTGAAAAAATTAACACCAAACGTTTTATTATAACTTTCTGAAGCACATCTCACACTTGTTGAAAACATCATGCATATTCCGCAATAACCTCTGAAACAGTTGCCTGCGCATGAAAAATTTTCAAGTCATCTGCAACCACGAAGACACACAATTATTAATATTAGCTTGGTGCTAAGTCATAAAAAGTAACAATGTGGACGGCATTTACATATTTTCCAATCCAATGTGACTTTATCTGTGAATTCAGCTTGAGTTAAATATTTCCAGAATGAATCTCGAGACCACAAGCACCACGTAATCTGGTAGACTAGGTAATACCAACATACGAACATTGATGAATATTCAAATTGTGATCATGAACTTCCATACAGAAACATTGGCAACATGACTACCTAAAAACTTTGTTATGCATGTTTACTCATTTGCTTTGCCATGTCTTCATATAATAACTAAGGAGCCACTTGACTGATTTTCATAAAAACTTTACACTGTGAAGTTTTACTAAAATTTGTCAGACATTCAACTTTTGAAAAAAATAACAATGTACAATTCACATGGAAATCTACATGGATATCAAAACAACTTGTTAAAACATTTCAAAGAGCAATATAAGTTTCAAACAGACATTACAGGAAAAAATAAAAAATGTTATGCCTGAAAGGGCTGAAAAACTTATGGGTTTTAAACTAATTAAACAGAAGTCAGTATTCAAGAATTGAGAATGTAGATGCAGTAATGGAACAAACATGCAAGAATTGTTGCTAGACATACATTTCCTAACTTATTTCTTTTTAGTAAGAATAACAATTGTAAATTTCCTTCTTAGCACTGATTTGGAATCAGCTTGGACAGTGGAACAACGGTTCCGGAGAATCTGACGTAAATACGTCCCTGTAATGCAATGAAATGTAATAATTCTTATGTAAGATTAGCACAAAATTATCTAGTCTACGACGCACTTCTACAACCGATTCACAGCTCAACTCTTTCCGCAATATCGAAAGTGGATTGTTGATGGCAGTAATGTAACACAACAATGCCGAGTGAACAGATGACGTTTCTTAGGCAACATAACAATGCACGCAAACTGATCATTGTTGTCGGTCCATATTTACACATTGTTGATATGGATCTTACATGTTTTCCTTTCACTTTTTTGCCGAATGACCATTCCGTATAGACGTATTTACGTCAAAAGTCACAGTGTAATAAACTTTGAAAATAAATAATCACAGTAGATGGCAATTAGAGACAGGTATCACAAGTACACTAATGTCCTGAAGGGTAAGATAATCAACAAACTTTATAGTGGTGAGATTAACATTTTAATACTGAGGATAGTTTTGCTATAGAGTAAAATACTACAGCAAAATTGGCAGTGTTCAGATAAGAAAAAAAAAATACAATAGAAAATAAAATGTAACAAGGTAGTTTGAAATGTATTGCTCTTGTTTTAGGTCATATTAAAATAAATCAAACTGTAAAAATAATACACAACTTCAATAATAATAATCATATAACACAGTTCCAGAGCAAAATGATTCTAAAACAATGCTTGAGCAAAAACATATATGCATAATCAATAAAGCCATAAAAATACAGGAAAATGATACAACTATAACAGAACTAAAGTTAATTGTTTCTAAGATAAACACATCTCAGATTCAATATACATGTTTTGACTTTTAATATTAATTTCAAATATCAAAATCTGAGTATTATTATCCATGTTATTAAAATACTCTGACTATTGTTATATATTCATAGCTTTTTTTTATCAAAACTGGCTATGATATATGGGTTGTGAATATTTTTTAACAGGACATGTGATACTCCAAATAATAACCTCTGGTAAAACGAAGATGAATTATAATAACTGCATTACACATCCAGATTCAGTGCCACAATTCAAAGAATATCAACAATAAATTTTTTTTACAAGTTGTCGCGCATATATACAATTCACAACTTGCAATTCAAATTTAGTTTTTACTGACATAACAGAATATCTCATCTCCTGTATATTTACATTTTTCTACTCATATACAATTCTAACTGCAACTAGACATACAAAACTGTAACTCTTTCATCAATTTTCAGACAATCTCAATAAGAATTATACTTATAAATCTGAAAATAAAACTGGTTTACGTATAGCTTCCTTACATAAACTACATCAACCAATGGGCACTGAATAAAACAATATTTAGGATACTCAAATTATCTCAAAAAATATTTTTGGGTCACATTAGATAAAATCCGGAAGTAGAAAGTCTTCGGTCCGCAACAAATAGAGCTACCCAGATATTGCAGTGGCAAACCTACGTTATTAAAGAAAACAAATATATTATTTTAACCTTTATCACAGCAGAATAGGTATTTTAAGGTGGCAACTACAAATAAAGTTACTGGAAGCTATCAGTTATCACAACTGAGATTCTTGGCAACTCAAACATAACTTATATCTTATAAATACAATTATTTCTAAATATTTTGATCTGCACTGTAGGCGTACTATAATTCAAGTGTTAATGTTACTGTCACTTAATAACAATTCTTTACACCAAAATTATTCAAAATAAGAGAAATTTGGAACAAAACTTAACCTGCTCCAACAAATGTCCTCTGCACCCTGACTGATTATAATAAATGCTTCTTTATTCACGTCACGCCACGTTTTCAACACCTATTATTACTGAAATCAATTAATTAAAAACAATGAGAAATCTTGAAACCATAAATGCTTAGGGGATGAACTAGCAGATCTGTTGTACTCACCACCATGAGAACTTCAAATTCTACCTGAAACGAAAAGTTTTAATATTTTCCAAGTTGATAAAGGAAACTGTGTTACAAATTGTTAAAAACAAAAAAATTATAAATAACCCAAAACACTTATAATCAACAGAATTATTACAAATTTTGGGCATACCAAAATTTTTGAACCTGGTATGTCTTTTAAGTTTGCAATTTTGAAGCTGTCTAAATGTGCTTGATTTTTTCCCAATGAAAGAATAAATACCTAAAAAATAAGAAAGGTAACAACAGATTACGCCCCACTTAATGGTACCTGTACCTTGTCGTGGTGGTGGGGCTCGAGTACCTCAGTGACCCCAAGAGCTACTGGTAGGGCCTCCCTAGCCAGAGTGGTCGAGGGGGAGAGGTCAGACTAAGACAGGTACCCTGGTCCTCCAGGTTGGGGGTTGGTCGCAAGGCTAACAACCTTGCACCGTAAAAAGGAAGATGTTTCGAAACCTCGATCAAAGCCTCGGACAGACGGACCAAACAGAGGACCGAATGGAAGAGGAGAATTGAGGAGGCCATGGACCGAATGCAGACCGGAGAGCCATAGAAGAAGAAGAAGAGATTACCATGTTAAAACACACAGACATAAAATCTATTCACAGGAATCTGAGAGCTGTAAACATATGAACAAAAAATATTAATAACTATTATGCCATGTGTTAAGTTACATCACAAAATTTGTGATAATAATCATCATCATTATCTAGCAGCCAAAACGTTAGGCTACTTGTTGACCTCTCGGCACAATTGCACTAGGTCTCCTTTAAGATCGTCGTCAGTTGTTTAATCCACGTGGCTTGTAATTTTCATGATATTACTATTTAATCCTCACAATACCAAAGAAAACAATTTCAGCTGGAATGGGAGACATCCATTGATTTAGTAACAGAACCAATTATTATGCTTTGTGCACCTGTCAAGCTGCAAAGGATCACCAAAAAGATATTATATTCCATTACGTAAAAGTTATTATTGGCATCATAAAATTGCTGTCATAATCACACACACAATTAAAGAGAAAAGAAATAAATAAATGTGAAAATTGTTAACAAAATAAAAAAATAATGTAAATAGTTAAATATCTTGTTTTAAATGACTGTATCTTAATATTTGAGCACAACTACCCATATAAAATACATTCAGTTTTAACTGATCAATTCCTTTAATGCGATCACGTGTTACATCATAAAAAAAATTACTGTTCCATCATTATAATAGTGAGTTACGAATATGAATTGAACTGAACACTTAAAAATGCTAATTAAATTCTTAAAAATACCATATTACAAATTAATGAGCACGTGCACTTATTCCTTTCATATCTTTGGAGAGACATCACAGAAATTCAGTTGGTGATGTGTATGTGTACAGTACACAGTAAATCAAAGGTGTGTGTGATGAGTTGCTCTAACGTGCATGCGCACATTTCATTCATTCAATAACCGTGCTACTAAATTGGACTCTATTGCAACACTGTACAGTATATCTAAAAATTCAAAATTCAAAATTCAAACCTAACCTAAACCTTGCAATATCACGGCTTCTTAGTGGACCCCAAATTCACTTCCCAGCTAATTCCATGTAGGCCTATGGCAGACACAGCCAAGCTGGTTATTACTGCAATATGCAATACTCCACCAACATGAAACCAATTAACGGAACATGTACTGCACAATGGTTTATGGCTCTCAACTAGACCTAATAAGAAACATAACAAGATGAAATAAATTTGGTTAGTCAAATAAACAACCATTCCTTGCTACAGTAAAGGCCCACTGACATACCCAAATTCTTCCAACACCACTCTCATCATTACTCGTAGGTTCTTTAGCAATACCGCACAATTGTGAGGTTATGTAGCAATGATGTCTACATAATTTGGAAGGAAGCAGTCATAGCCCATTGGAAGGTATTAATGTGTCTGAAATTACTGAAAGCCATGAAATAATTCAGTGCATGAAGGGCCCCTTTCTCAGACCTCTTTCATGTCCTTCCCTCCTGATGGCCAGGCTGTGTAACATGCCCTTTGCCATATCCTGACTCCACTCCCCACTGGTCAGGCAGAGATTCTGCCGTGACTGGCAGTTTCCTGTATCTCAAATCAATTCCACATGCCCTGATGATGGAGGCAGCAAGGACCTCTGAAACGTCGGTAAACTTCTACCAAACTACATGGCACTACAACCCAGAAGACAGCCATCTTCAGACTGCTATGAAAATCTAAAATCCTACATTAACAGTATATTTATATTATATGCACCTTGTAGGTTTGAGTTAAGACGTGTTCTGAGCAACATTCAGCACATTTATCTGTGCCACTGATAACCGCTAACAATTTTGGACTTAAAACTGATGGAAACTAATTTTAATTATTCAAATGTAACTCATTCATTTTAAGCATAGCAATTTGAGTAAACTATTACACAATTCTTCTCTTGACATATCTACTTATAAAAAACAGTTCACTTTAATTATGACTTAACTATGCGTATCGTATTACACAAATATATCACGTAAAAAAAAAAAGGCAATCAACCTATGTATGACTTTGAGCACACAATACAATTATTATAATCATCTCATCACACACATTATGACTGTACCACTGTTCACAAAGTGAATTGAGTTTTTTTGAGATAGACTGTACAGTCTATTAGCTTAGTATAAACAACTGTTGGGAAATCAGTATTTTCAATATATACACTATGGTCACCAGCTATAAATAAAACCAATTAAATATCCATAAATATTCATTGCTTTCTGATATTTGTATTAAACAAGATATTTCTCATACTGTTTATCATATCAAATGGCAGTAGCTATATCACTGATGTCTACAGACTGTTGTTAATAATAAGTTCACAGATTACAGGAATATATTAAAAGTCTATAGAACACTACATACAGAATACACTGAAAAAATCTGTTTCCCCAACATCTTCATAATACAGCTACTTACACGAAATGAGGACAAGGACCATGAAAAAATTCTTGCATTCGATAACAGGCCCCCCCCCCCTTTTCACCGCAAAGTAGCAAATTTATTACCTACCTGTTTGTTACATAAGAAGATATTAAGATACCCCCAAAACTAAAATACTTTTTAAAGTTTTTGTCACACAATAATTATATATTATTAAATAACAAATTACAACTTTCAGATGAGCCCTTCTTGCAGTGGAGAGTAAAGTCTCTTCGGTCTGCTGGAACTGGCCGATGAGATCAATGTTTTCCGTGGCAATGGCTTGTGCTACGTGATGAGCCGTGGAGAATGTAGCCCCTCTACTTGTCGATCTATCGGGGGGCAATGACTTGTGTTGGGTGGTCCCCAATCATGAAGACCACTAGTATTGGCTAGTCTATGTGTGAGGCGGTGGGCGATCGAGAAGCCCCCACTCCCCTCCAGTTGGGTAAGCACGATAATAACTTGCCTAAATACAAATACGAGAGCAATTTTACATCAGGATATTCTTAAACCATGTCCAGAACAAAAGGGATACATATCAACTTTAATATATTTTATGACTGCAATTAATTAATTTATAATGCACTAATTTAATCTATGGGGACATTTTATCTTGGAAGTGACTGTATAACAATCATATCCTAAACAGTTTTTAATTATAGCTCCTGGAAAAGAAGGAATGTTGGAAGATGTATAAAAAATGGATTCTTCACAGGAGAATTTAATGGGGACAGGAAAGTCTTGAGATCTAATCCTTGAAGTTTATGAGATGAGTGACCGTATGTGATGCGTAAAAACAGTGCTCATAATCAGTTTATAAACAGCAGATATCAAGGGCAGAATATAGCAGGGACACCTGGCAGATAGATGGAAGAAAGAGACGTAATCCTTGCAACCAGAGAAACTGAAGGACTTAATCTGCGATACTGCATTACGATGACGATGAAAAGTGTCTGGGATATTTTTTCGTGATTTCCGACAGTGCAGACAATTTTTGTGCAAATCTGTACTCAACACTCTGTACACAACCTTCTGTAACTTCATATCCTTCATATACAAATATTCTCCTCATCGAGATAAAACCCAATTACTCACCTCCATCCAGTGCAAGGGTTTAGAATGCATTGCGGTATACCCCCACTCCCTCATACCTCTGCACGGTGAGGTCCTTTGTAAGTATGAGGGACAACTTTAATTTTACGTTACCATAATGTTAAGATAATAATGTTACCCGTACTCCCACCTGTGCAAAGGAGGCACTGAGTCAACGGTGCGTAGCTCCCCACGAGTTGAAACTACATTGTAGCTCTCTTGACAGTCGCACTTGACATGGATCCACTTGTTCTCATGACGGTTCTCCACCATGACAACGAGTCCAGCCCAACCCTTTGTCAGATAATATGCAGTCATCCCTTCACGGCCCTGAAATACAGGTATTACTTTTTGTAAAACACGGCAACAGACCAACAAACAACAGGAAACTGTTACTGTAATGTAATGTAAGAAATGCTGAAACACCAGGCTTACACAAGTTCTGTTATATTTAACTTTGCGTCCTGTCTTGATACGCGCGCTCACATTTAAAAGTAGCGAAAATGTGCCTATTGGCTTTCACCGTTTCTGTCTGCCCACAAGTAACAATTTCGGAATAGCTATGAGATTTTTATTAAGTTTGATAATGAGGGAGTATTACTGAAATCTTTTAACATATTTCATGTTTGGTTAAAATCAGATGACAATAATAAAACATGAAGATCTATGTGTGTTTCTGAAAGTGGAAGTGACTAAGTTTTAAAATCCCACAATTTCCCAGGACAAGACATTTACTGATATTTGCACTGTACACCAAGTTCTCTAATATTGGGATTATTATAAACTGAATAAAATTTTATTAGAAATTTATTAAAGTGTGGATTAAGAATTTTAAGATAAAAGACAGAGGTCCGCAGTGGCCGCGTGGTCTGAGGCGTTGGGCCTTGTGCCGCTTGGTCGCTGGGACCGTGGGTTCGAATCCCACTCAAGCCATGTTTGTCCGCGTCTTCTATGTTGTGCTGTCCTGTGTACGGGTAGAGGCCTTGCGACGGGCCGATCCCTCGTCCAAGGAGTCCTCCCGAGTGTCTATAGATCGAGCCAATGAAAAGTTGGGACCCGCAGTGCTCAGGCACTTGAAGAACGGGTCGTTCCCAGTATCCCAGTAAGATAAAAGATATGGGATTAATTAACCCTATAAAGCCAAAGTTTGTCCAATTAATATTTGAGAATTCAGTCCCTACCATAAAGAAAACAACACTTCACCATTATAACTGGTTAATGTTGTTTTAAGGAAATAATCACTGTTTATATGAAACAATAAGTATACACTGTGGTTAAAATGCAGATTATTAAATGTTAAAGCAGTTGGTATACATTGTTACCACTAAGTTCTGAAGTGTTAAAATCACTTTAAAATATCATCAAATTAAATATTCCATTGACCCTTTTAGAACCGTGACTTAATAATTTTCAATCTACAAATGAGAGTTTGTTTTGAAACAAAAGCAAATATTTTCTTTGAACTTTGTTCAGTTGCACTTATCTACAGACCTCATGGCGCTGGCCCTTGGCAAGTGTGAGACTGATGATGGCATCAGCCAGCACGTACGCAGGCGGGGAAATCTGCTCTACGAGAAGACGTTTAGAGCTGTGTATCGCCAACACATACTCGGGGTAGCTAGCTGGATCATCCATTCCTGCAATAGTTTTTGCAATGGAATTTAGCTAACTTAAACAAATATGCATAATTTTTTCCTCCTCTTTTTTTTATATCTATTCATATAAAGAAAGTGATGGCACGCACATTTCAATCTATTCCTGCATTGCAGAGTAGCAACCAAACCAGAAATGGAGAAACAGAGAAAAGCGGATAAAATATTTCGTACATGAGGTAAAATACATTATCAAATGCGTAATTTTTTACGGCAGGTTTTTTCATACGTGTTTTACAGATGTAGAGGACACATTTTGTTTTGCCATACTAGAAGACATCTGTTAGTGGTAGTATAGTAGAGTCCTGATTATTTGACCTTTGGTTATCCAACACTCCTCTTTATCGGACATGCTGTGTTTCAAAACTCCATTTTGTCTACAGTCAACTCAGCATGTAGCACACGTTCTACAGTTTTTGTACTCAATTGATACAGATGTACTAGTGTTCAGACGCTGGGATGACCTTACTGCAAAGAAAATGAAGGAGGCTCAGAAGCTCCATTACCAATTTCTTGAAAAAATGAAGTCCTTCATTTACAAATTGATGTTATGTTACATACTATTATAGTCTGTGAGATTTTTTCATTTGACGTCATACTATTTTCTTCATAATTTAATAATATCGTAAACTGAGTTAATACTTACCACCATATTTCTCATTAGTCTTTAACATCATCCATAATTTTTGATTATCCAGCCATTGTTCAGTAATCTTTAGGTTGGATAATCAGGATTCTACTGTATGAGTAAGAATAATAATGGGAAAGTAAGTGTGGGACACACGTGGTGAAGCTACGTATTTTACCTGTGTGCCAGTGGTTGAACGCAAGACAAACGAGAATGTAGAGATCACGCTCCAGCATCTTGTGGCAACCCACAAAGCCCCGCACCTGACGCTTGCTGTGTTCCACAAGTCGTCCCACCTCAGGAGACGCAGGGGATCTGGTGCGGAAAACAACCACACAAAGATCCAGCTGCGACCTCTGTGATTTCTCAGAGTTCCTGACAGAAACACATCACATACTTATCATAATACTTTTTCGAATGATCATTAGCGTACCAATTAAAATATAAGTGGTGCTACTTGATGCCTGGCAAATTAAATGTCTCTTGTAAGTACAGATGTGAGAAAATACAATAAGAAATCTTAAAAAATCTTAGAAGCCTGTAACAAACATTCTAGAAGACACAGAACTGGTAACGAAAAACCTCAATTGAAATTAGTGACTCGGACATGACATTTTTTAAAATATGGCAACTCTTACCACATAAGTAATTATCTTACCTTTGTCCCTCCTGGAAGAGTGTGAACTCCGCCTCAGTGGGTTCAAGAACGGTGAGCAGAACACAAGATAAGTGATCTAGAGATGAGAGAGGGGGCAGTGTTCCACGCAAACGCACCTCGTTCCAACCCGACCGCACCTTACAGATGTCAATGCAGTCAAAATACCTGAAGGCAATAAAATGTTTAACGACAAAGTCTTAATACAGCATAACACACTCTTAAAGTGTTTAATCAGTGTTTCTCAAGCTGTCGGCCGTATGAATTTATGAGCTCATTGTCCCCAGACCAGACAGAAAGGGGAGAACTATTACAAATACTGTGGAATGTTTTAATTTCAGAAAATTGTATCTGTAAGGAGCCTTACAGTATTATTATAATTGCTAACACCTAGAAAAATGTAAAATCTATGGAAAACAAAATTAATTTACTCCCCCTAAAGGTATATGCAGTATATTCCTCTAAAATGTCAGCCAACGTAACCTACACCTCAGTCAAGATAGGTGTCTCTGTGATAAGTTTTAAAACTGCTATCTCCCAAATATGAAGCAGGACTGCTAACCACTCAACCACAATTGATGACATTCTATCAGAAGTACTACTAAGCACATTACACTGCTTGATGCCACGCTTGGCTTAACCTCTGCTTACTTCAGGACATCTTCAAACGAGATCCAGAAGACACCATCTGATGCACCATGTGGCATTAAGATCTCCCTGAGCTGCGGTGTCCAAATAGGTGAGTCATCTGACCAGTCACCTTTCCAGGAGTAGTGACCCCATGGGTTACGTAATCGCAGAAGCCTATTCCCGCGCATGTCCCGAACATCCAGAACAGAATAGGCATGCCTAATAACAGAGAAATGTATTAAATAACCAGGATTTTGAAGACTTTGTATGATTCACATGAAATTATTAATAAGTTAATCAGAATTTGACCTTTAATCTTCAACCAAGGTAGCACTAGTGACCATAGCAGCCTGGGATTCCACATCCACTCGCTTGGGTGCGCAGAAATTCAAGATCTTCATATAAAGTACCCACTATTAGTGTCTGACTTTAACCAAAACTGTAATGTATTGAAAGATTTTAGTAAAATTCCCCAATATAAAATTTCACGAAAATCCATCAGCCATTCTCAAGTCGTTTCATGTATAAATTACTTGAATACACACTCTGCACAGATGTAAATGTACCTGAAGAGAAAGGAACATATCTGTATCACCTAGTCACAACACCATAATTCGTACCTCGGCCTGAGACCTTTACGCTGGTACTCATCTTCATCTACCTTCATGTTACCGCCACCACAGGACGCACCCATAAGGAAACGGGCCAAGCGGGAACTCAAAAGCTGAGCCCAGATTAGATCTTTGTCCAGCTCATCTTCTGATGGAAGTGATGACTGTTGTAGGGGCACACTCTCACATGGCGCACCTGAACATTCAATTGTCTGTTTCAGAAACAATCACAATTGCTAATCCTCTCTTTTTTTTCAACCGAACCACAGAATATGATAGATAAGTAATGTGTTTTAGAAACATGGCCTTACTTATAATGAATAATAATTGTAACTGCGCCATTCCATGAAGGGCAGGTTCTAATTTAAATCTACACAGTAATGAATGAGTTAAAATGTAAAAGTACAATAATAAGTAAAACGCTTTCTTAATACAATGTTTTTTGTTATGTTAGAGATCAAACATAACCTCACCTGTTAATGTTGCTAGCCCCTCAATGGCCCTCCCAGATACTAACGCCTCGTAACAGCCGTGAATTTTTGCTACTGCTTTCTCAATAAGTGGAACCCACAACTGTTTTCTTTTGGCCTACAAATAAATAAAAAAAATTCAAAATGTATAAAATTTTATAAAAAAATACTGGAGTGATTGAATGATTATGTATCCATGGACATTATGTATCTGTCTGTTTCAAATATGTATGCATGCATTGCCAGATCAGCTGTATCATCTGCTGAGACATTCCACAGCAGGATATTTGTGACAAAATGACGTGCAGATATCCTCACTTTTACAAATCCCGAAAAAGGACTGCCCATCGACAACTGCGTGGAGGTCATGCCAGTTGATACGGGACTTTGGGCATCATGCCAATTATTTGATAAATTTGGAAACATTATGATGTATCTTTCCCTTAAGTTACTTAAAAATGTTATTATGTCTTATTTGTTGTACTGCGGCTTAAAACGGTCGGAGATAAACCCAAAGAGTTTTTTGTTCTTGCCATTCTGCACTTTCTTCCTCTTAAGGAAAAAGGTACTACTTGTCAGTTAGATTTAAGACATAACAATGTTACCTTCAAGTACAATTCACATTTTGTAAATTTTCTACAAACCTGAGAGTAGACTAGATGGCCACGTTTGTCACATGGGAGGAGGTCATCAACAAGCACTGTTGTCCACTTGCCATCCTTGCACAGACGCACCTGGTATGCTCCTTGATGGCAGAACTCTCGCATCACCATAACTTTCTTCACCAGATCTTCTCGTTCTGCCAACACCGCGAGTGCGCTCAGCAGCCAACAGTTACCGAGCACACCTGAGCGTCACACATTACAAAAGCGAGAATTTAATACGAGACCAGCTTTTTCTTTCATATACTGACAAATTTTCATGAAGAAACAATAAAAATAAAATTTTCTGCTTTGCATATCACTTGTACAGATCAGTTGTGTCAGGGAAACTTTAAATCCTATTGAATATTTACACTGTAAAGTAAACTGCGCAGTACAAATGTGGGAAATATATACATCAGAAGCCATTGTAAAATTAATATACAATATGCAATAAAATGTTATGACAATGTTAAGCACTTCAGCGGTCTGAAAATTATATTTGGTATTGTAGACAGATATTACAAGAGCCATCTCTTTTACACTACTCCACCTTGCGAAATGTCTGAAGGTAAAGGCGTACGGAACACGGCCCACTTCAGTTTTGAGTCTCCTTCCATCACAATTTCGTGCGGACGAAGCCACTGAACAACGTGGTCATCCTTCGTTTCAGTTGGATTGTAGTATAATGATTTTGGTGCTGGTGGGAATGAATCATCTACAAATGGTTCTTTGTTCTGAAAATATTAAGAAATTATTAATTGTACAAATTACTTTAATATATAAATGTGGTCATAAAATATGTACATTAATCATATCAGCATAAGAACAAATTAGATAAAGTGCAACAGCTTTGTAAATAAAATTTAAAATTTGTTGAAACATCCAACCTTTCGAATATTCCTGACAATTAACAGATAGGGCTTTCTATTTTGGTGGTAAATAATGATATATACCTCCAGTTTACAGGGAACAAAATAAGAGATCTGAAAGTAAGTGATACATTTGGAAGGACCAAGGAAAACAGTACGGTCTAGTTAAAAGTAATATTCCAATAGCTCCTTAATATGACTCAAGAAAACAATAAAATACTGGTCTTGGTATGTGGTTCAGGGAACTTCTTCAATGGGTGCAATTGTCTTGCAAGTACACAACTTGGTATTCAGTGCATGGATTTTCTCAAAATGATTCATAAGTTACATCGCCTTAGTACAAGGGATATTTACTATCTATAATTTCTATTGTGGTATTACCTCTCTGCAATACTGGACAATGCGCTCCCACTTCTCCAGAGCATCCTGTTCCTCAATGTGCCTCAGATCCTCCATGAGCTCACTCTCCTGCTTGAGCACAGCGGCGGCACTGCTCGAACTGCCAATGGTTGGCCCTGAGGAGGCACCTGGTGATGGAGTGGCTGAGATCCTACCATTGGTGAGAACCATTACAGATGATGAGAGGCAACGTGAACTCTGACACATCTCACATGACACTGAAGCTGTGCAGTTCTCATATGTGCACAACACACAGTGCCATGACACCAATGGTATTACGGATTGCTGCTCTGCACCCCGCGGACTCCTGCCACCTGTTGACGATGCAGGAATCAAGGTATGATCGGCATTCAAGTCCCTGGTGATGTTGCTGGACCTGTGATGGCCACTGCGACTAGCTACACCATTACTCCTGGATGCACCGCTGGGAGTAGCTCCTCTTCTGCTCCCACCAACTCTCTGTTTCGGAATAGCACCACCACCACCACCTCCGACTCTGCCGCTGCTTAGTCGAGACGAAGACTGTCTTGGAGATGGACTCCTTGAGCCGCTGCCACCACTGCTGGATTTGGGAACTTCCAAAAGTTTTTTTGTTGTCTTGCAGGCCATACAGGATTGAGTATTAAGAGGATTTTTTAAGGTGCACTGAACACAAGACCAGAATTCTCCTTTACGCAGGGTCATGTCTTCAACCATTGTGATGCTACGAAGTTTAGAACCCCCACAGACAACACATGCCATGGCAGTGCCAGAATTAACTAATGTGCACTTCTTACAGGTCCATTCCTGTTCACATGTTGTGCCAGGAGAGCTTGATCCATCACCTGGCAGGAATTGGAAGTCATCATCTAGATCCTGCTCCAGTGTGGCTAAGGTAGCTGTAGGACCAGGAAGAACCAAGGCCAGAGGATCGTTGTTATTAACACCTTCAGATTCTTCAGAATCATCCCTCTTAGGTGGTGTATATCTCACACTATCTTTGGTTACCGTGATGAGGCTCGGTTCTGTAAGGGAAGGAGGTGAACGAACGGAGTTGCATATATCACAGCTATCAGACCAAAGAGGGTTGTAGGCGTACGAACATTTAGTACAAGTCCACATGCGATCAATTGAAGAATTTGAAGTTTCAGAAGAGGCATTTGAAGAAGAAGCAGAGAGCTGAGCATTATGATTGGCGACTGGTGAGGATGATGTAGCTGAAGTTGAGTTAATGTTCCCATTACTAGATTTAGTAAGATCTATCATATCCAAAACTGAGGGGGGAACCAACCTATTTTTTATTGCAACTGATTTCTGAGACAAACCCACAGATGTTCTTATCTGCTGAGTAGAAGGATCAGTGATCCCAATATAAGAATATCTAGTGCCAGACCTGCTGCCAGATTGCGGTTGTTCCAACTGTAGATTGAGATTCACTGGAGATCTTACTGGAACGTTGCCCTGGGTATCTGTTTCTATCATACTTCTCCGATTTGACGAGACCTTGGGATGTTCCACCTCATTTGATACAGAATTCATTTCTGAGAAGGATCGTCGATATACTGGCCTCTGCCAAGCACTGTCACCAGGTAATGTAAGGTCAAGAGTATCACCACTGCTTTGCTGTAAGCCTTGATGAGGTTTAGGCGTTGAGAGATCTTGTAATACTGCAGGTTTAGTTTTCACAGCTTCTGCAGGCCTGTTTTCCTCCCAGTCAGGAACAGTGATCACAATGCCATTACGTGGCAACGTATTAGGAAGTGTCCCTGAACGTAGGACGGAACCCAAGGGAAGATTTGGTTTTCTGGGTGTCTCGCACACCTCACAACGGTCCCTGACTCCAGCATTCTCTAAAGTACACCGAGGACACGTCCAACATGTTGAACCGGATGCCGATCTTTGTGAAGAAAGAAATTTATACTTATGAACGTCACCACCCCTTCCCAAGTTATCACCAATTTTGCATCCTTGTAAACTTCCATTGCTACTACTACTACTACTACTACTGACACTGCTACTTTTCTCATCACTAACATTATCTACTATCAGGCTGGTGGGTCGTCTAAACACACTTCCACTCACATAAGATTTGGGAATGACAGAATTGGATGTCGTATCTAACCATAATTTCTGGACAACAGAGCCGTTTGAAAGAGATCTACTAACTTTTGATTTCACACGTTCATACACTGATGGATTTTGGCGCTTAGGTGATCTGTTCTGTGAAGCATCCTGACTGCTATTAGTTTTATAGGCAAAACAGTCTTGAGAAGTGACATTAGTGTTTGAAACTGCTCCCACTGAAGCATTTTGGATGATAACCGAGTTAAGATTCTGTACCAGCCTGGCACCACTGGGAATCTCTATTGGCGTCAAGCCTCCGTCCAAAGAGACGGAGGCACCGTGAGCGTGCTCATCCATCCACTTGTCACGTTGCTGATTGGTACATTCACATTCAGAGTAAACGCTCTGCTCCATCATGGTGCTACGTTGCCCATGGTAACTGCACTTTGTCCTCCCATTGAACCAGTTCTCATCGTGTCTTTCACTTCCATGACCTACAGGGGCAACAAACGAGGCCATCATTGCCTCATTGTCATTGTCTACAACATGTCTGACAGGAATACCAATGCCTAGCTGTTGGTCCACTTCAAAATTAACTTTGCCACACGTCGCACACCTGGAGGTTACACTCACATTCAGGAACTGGCATTGTGAACACAGCCATCTATGGGCTAGATTTGGAACACTTGTTGAACGAACAAAAAGAGCTTGGCAATCCTGTGAAGCACGTCTACTCAGTGGGCAAGGATGACCCCACGTTGAAAAACGTTTCTCATTTTCCCTAATGGGACTACCACCTTCAGTTGGACTTATGTCTACGAGGCTACTGTGAAACTCCCTGGCATCCACCTTGGACTGCTTGCTAACATCTGAAGTTGTCGTTCCTTCTGCCCACTGCACGTCCGGTTCACTCGTTTCCTCAACATTCCTGCAACAATTCAGAAAAAGGCACACTGTGCGAAACGATGCCATATCACGCAAATCTATATACATAATATTCTGTACGGTTATTGAAAATGTGAGTGAAGTGTACAATTATTAATTTTAAAGCTAATGTACCCTGACGTCCAAAGAAAAAGTTACTTTTATCAGAGAACCTTGCATTAATCCACATAAATAAATCAGCGTATATAAAAATAATTAAGTTCTATACATTTTAATATGAAACACAAATTTTGAACTCAAACGGTAGCGTCATCAGGACAATGAGCGAGCGACCTGATGATAGAGGCAGCAAAGGACCTCTGAAACAATGACAAACTTCTACCAGACTACACAGCGCTACAACCCGAAGAACAGACGTCAAAGTTTTTATGCTTTCATAAAATGGTCTACAGACCAAAAATATATGAAAAATTACTATTCTATGTGGACACAGCGTTACAAAATAAAAGTAGTGTTACAGTTTTGTAGAAGCCATATCAGTCATTTATTGTAGACAATGGGTTAACAACAGCGTATTAAAATTATGTCCGCGTGCCACATTGTTTGAATGCTACAAAAATATTTGTATTTCATGATTCTACGAAAAGCATCGTACAAATAATGACTTGAACTGGTGATAGCTTCCTCCTAAACTCTTGTAACCAGCATAAAGGGCACACATAAGAGCAGAGCATAATCCACATGGCCGTAGCTACTTCAGAGTGGTGGGTTAGGATACCAGCGTATGTTACTCATATGGATTACTATGTTTACACAAATACATTGCATGAATATAAAAATCTCTTTATCTGCCCCCAAATAGGCCTCACATGAATCAAGTAAAAGCTCTGTTATTGTATAATTTTTGTTCACACATTAGCTCATTGTTTGTGGAGCGAATAAAACACACCTGGAGGTCAACACATCAACAATTCAAAGAAAATGCTAATCTTGGCAATCGAAAATCTGACTTTGAAGTTGTAAAATGATCCACATTGTCTATTCCAGCCACGATGACTGTTTTTACCTCTCGCTATGCATTCGTTCTTTCCACTCAAGGTTATGTCGATGTAACAGCTGTGACGAAAGCAAGATCGAATCGGCGCACTCCACTGGCAAAGGTATTATAATATGCCTCCTGTGGTGGTTGGCTGTTTCTTCGAGTCCCTTCCCTGCTTCCGTCGAAAGCAGTGTTCGCGTGACTCGGCCCAGAGGCCTACCAGACGCCCTCGAAAACGACGTCCACGTACCATGCAATAATAAATGGCAGTGGAGCCCCCGTCTGCCTTACAGATGCTACATAATGACTTAAGACGTATCGACATTTTACATCAATATCCAGGCAACCAAAGATGGAGACAGGAAAATGCATACGTCAATCAACGGTGGTTCGCCATTGTTAAGGCAAGGTTTCATCCCCACATTTTTTTTTTCCACAACTGGGACACTTCGTCAATATATTCCATGCCTGCGAGTCGGACTGTCAGAGTCGAAACATCTGTCTTGAAAACACTGGCGCGCAATACATAAATCTGGCTACTTACGTATTAAGAAATTCTGCCATTAGCTGGTTAAATTTATCCGGGAAAATTTCCGACATGTCCAGTGTGTTTTTATTTATTTATTTATTTTTTCGTCCGAGAAGAACTATAATGAAGAATAAATGGAACAAAACAGCGGTTCAAGTAAGTAATAATTTGGCTTTCGCCGATGAGGCACGTCGAAAGTTGAAATTTAGCCAAAGCTTCATTCTCTCCCCTCAAGCGCCTACATGGAGTGTAGTGGGACTGCTTTACTTGCTTACTTTTTATTTCACAATAATTACTGCTGTGAGAAAATGTCCAGCTTGATGAAGAACATCAAATTAAGAAGTAGAACTCGTGACAAACACTTGGAAGGATGTACGCGAATATTAAATCCCGATATTTAAGGATTACTAGCGGCAGAAGCTCGTACTACATCCGGTTCGCCCTCTATTGACACAGTCTTGAAACTTTCCGATCGCACCTCGTATAGCAAAATCAGTGTCCATCTCTCGCGAATGGCTTATTGATTTATATAAAATTATTCATTGGGTTAGAAGCATTAATTCACTGTCATGGTGTTTAAATACGTAGCACACTGAAAGTCGATGACACATTTTAAAAAGGTTGGACATCCATGGTCTAGGTTAAGAACACCGATCACCTATAGACATTAAGTGCGCGGGGAACTCAGCAACTGCTCATGGGGATTCCCCACATCGGTTTCAGTTCTTCAAGAACGAGCTTTATATACTACCACACCCTATAATAAGACCTAATCTTGGAAATCAACTTCAAAGTGGGACACGGAAACCGGAAAAAAGAATCAATAACAGAACAGACCGTAATTCTATATTGCTTACTTGGTCACGGTTCGTTAATACCAATTTTTTGGTTTTGAAGGAAACTGAAACTGTGCAAAGTCCAGGTTTCGATTACCAGCAGAGCCTATTGTGAAATTTCTGGTGCAATGAGCAGGATAGCTAGAGTTCATTTACTTAGAAGCCTCCTATTCGACACCCGAATTTGAATTCTAATAGTTTTACTATACCGAAATAATTACACCATTCCACACGTCGTAGACTTCAGCTATGAACAATTAATTCAATTCTTTCAGTAGTTATTCAATAGTTTTCTTACCTTAAAAGTATACGTTCTTGGCAGATGATCGAGAAGTGGTTTGCCATTGCCTTCTTTTGTGTGTGAATGGAGTAATTGTTGGGATGCCACGGAGGAAAACTCCGTGTTGCCTAGACCACGGCCTTGCCCAACACAAGTTATAAATTCGGGCACCGCCGGGAATCGAACCCGAGACCCCAGGATTACAAGGCAAGCGTTCTAACCGCTAGACCACCGTGGCTAATGTGATACCATTTTCCCTTGGAAATTAGGGCGAAAAAATATTTTGAGGCTTCAAAGAAAGATGCATTATGTACCACAGTGTACGTGCGTGTATATATATATAAAAAAATCCCTTACAGTGTAAACTGAAATGAACTGACAGTAAAAGGAATATGTGTCAGGGTCAATGAGATCGATCCTCCATACCGCACAATTCTGTATCGACTCTTTGCAACTCCTCCCTTGAAGAACAGGGAAAAGACCTGCATGGCCAATGGCGGAAACACAGATATTTAATTATTCATTCCTTTGTTCACATAGAGCATACCTAATACGTCAAGAGCGAAATATGAACTAGTATCGGTGTTACCCACACCGACCACAGCAACCGGAATATACGTCTGACCACACCAAGGGCAAGCAAGCCGCGGCCCGCGGGTCGAAAACGGCCCGACAAGAAATTCATTACAACCCACAGAGAGGATATTCGGTTATTATTAAAAACGATACCTTTTATTAATCTTAATTTATTGTCCATCGGGAAGAATTATTTTAACTGCTAGAAAAGCAAGATTTCTACAGAAACGTAAACTTATGGTCCCAGTGCACGTATAATTACGTAATTTACAAAATCTACCAATGCGTATATAAGCCAAGTAGGCCTACTTAAGAACAGGTTAAATTTGAAAAAAAAAACACCAATCAGACTTCAGGGTACCGTGTCTGAATTACTTGCTGTTTATTTACGGAAAGATCATTATACAAAGTTAGTTATTATGTCGTTTGAAAATGTGGAAAACTTCCAATACTTCGGAAACATTTTAACAAATCAAAATTGTATTTTTTTTATTAATATCAAATTAAATTCGGGGAGAGATTCCTACAGCAGAGTTCTAAATTCTTCAGTCTCCTATCTAAAAACCGCACAGATTAAAATATATAAAACAATAATTTTATGTCGGCGAGAAACTTAATCTCCCACATGAAGCGAAAAATACAGATTAGAACGTTTGAGAAAGGGACACTGAGAATAATATTTGGACCTAAAAGGGGTTAAAGAATAGGTTTATGAAAACTGCATTAAAATTCAATGACGTATCTGCTACTGTAATGTTAAAATTTTCAATGCAATAAATACAAATGAAATTATTTATGTTTGCGAATTCATAAATAACGAGGTTTAAAACTATACTCCAGTGGAGTACCGTTCACCTCTGCACTCCTATCTTTTGACAAGAGTAACAAGAATGTAATTAACACCATCCTTCATCAATTGTGCGTAATTAATTTAATTCACAAACTCTAAGACCAGAGACTAAAATGTAGCTAAACAAGTGAAGTAATATAATACGAAAATGTTTTCATTTTATCAACTCGCAGCTGAAGTACAAAGTCTACGGCAGCTAAGACGAATCTCTCAGCATAAACGACATCGTCAAATCAGTAAGCAGCACATTAAAGATGTATTTATCGGTCGAGCCAAGATGCTACAAAAAAGGATAGTTGCTGGGAACGAAACAACAGAACGTCAAGATGAGCAAATACGTTCCGAACGTTTTGAAGTCCATAACGTAGATGGGAGTTTATTATTTAGTGTTCTGTCTGACGACAGGTCCATATGAACAGGATCCTTCCATCCTTTTCTCGGACTGGGACCTGTTCATATACGTTCTTGGCAGATGATCCAGATTTAGTGTTCTGTCTGAGGACAGGTCCATATGAACAGGATCCTTCCATCCTTTTCTCGGACTGGGACCTGTTCATATACGTTCTTGGCAGATGATCCAGAAGTGGTTTGCCATTGCCTTCTTCTGTGTGTGAGTGGAGTAATTGTTGGGATGCCACGGAGAAATCGGGGAAGCCCCCGGAGGAAAACTCCGTGAAGCCTAGACCACGGCCTTGCCCAACACAAGTTATAAATTTGAGCACCACCGGGAATTGAACCCGGGACCCCAGGCTTACAAGGCTAGTGTTCTGACCGCTAGACCACCGTGGCGGTCTAGATGGGAGTATAATATTAAAAAAAGATTCTTAAGCTGTCATGGCTCGTACGGAGTTTATAAAAAGAATGTTTTCGAACAGCTGAGTGCTGACTGTTTACTAACGATGGTATAAAGAAGAATCTTATTGACAATAAAGTCGTTTGCATTTACCATCAGAACTTCATTTAAAAATTTTCCCGACAGACATTGGCTGTTATGTCCGGAGCGAATTACCTCACGTTTTTTTGATCTACGAACCGGCAAAACACCGGATCGACCCTTGATTTTCCGAAAAGGACAGACACTATTTCAACCCTAATTTCGTATTTATAATTTTCATCTTATCTACAACATCTAAAAGTGGGGTCACCCTGATTATGAACATCACAGGTTTCTTCTTGTATCACCTTCTTTGATATTCAGTACGTCCTCATTTCACCTACAGAGTGTATTTATGGATTCAATATGACTTTCAGAGGTGATAATGTTGCGTCATATTGTGATGATTATAATTGTTTAATTTTAACCGTCTAATCATAATAAAATATTTTATTAAATATTAAAATATTACTACAATTAACATTCAATATTTAAAATATAATAAAATGATGCTCCTTCTATCGAAATGTTCGATTTACAATTAGAGCATCATCTTTTTCACGACATGTTTCGGTTTTCAGTGAACCATCTTCAGGTGTATAATCGATATAAATTCAAATGTAATATTCTATTGGTTCATTGAAAACCGAAACATGTCGTGAAAAAGATGATGCTCTAATTGTAAATCGAACATTTCGATAGAAGGAGCATCATTTTATTATATTTTAAATATTGAATGTTAATTGTAGTAATATTTTAATATTTAATAAAATATTTTATTGTGATTAGACGGTTAAAATTAAACAATGACTTTCAGAATAAACATAGATGATTTTCCTAAACATAATTAACAACGTTGTGTTATCTCCGAGGACGGAAAAAGTTTAAATATTATCTACACGAAATTCAAAGTGTTAATTAAGGCGATGTGGGCATCTGGCTGGTAGTCAAATTTTAATGCATGAAGAAAGGCCTTTTAATGTCAACACCAAGTAAACGAGAATAGCGTCCAATGATTATCAAGGAACAGATGTACTGTTTAAATAGCAGAGCATGTGACAAGGGAAATCGCTGACCAGAAGTAGAAGTGACGTCTACACGGACTGACCGCGAAGTTTTCATCCGATTACAGAACGGCTGAAAACGGTGGAAGGTTTTCATACTATGGATGGACCGGACCGTCTGCACAACGAAATACTGTAAACCTCTGAGCCTTATTCGATAAAATAATTTCCATAATCATACGAATATTCTCTGCAAATATTTATCGAGAATAAAAAATGATAGTGGAACCACGGTTCCGGAGAATTTGACGCAAATACGTCTATACGGAAAGGAAGTTTATATATTATCTTTTCCTTTATACATGCTTTACAATTGAGTAAAGTTTCCTAGGTAACAACAATTCCGAGCAAACACGACGTTCCCTAGGTAACCAGGTTACACTTTTTGCCGGATGACCCTTCCTTATAGACGTATTTACGTCAAAAAATACTGATTATATGCAGTGCGATGTCAGTAAATCAGAAGATTTCAGGGGATAACAAATGCAAAGGACGAATACGTCCTTGATTCGAGCTATTCAGTAGGAAGGATTTTAGGCCTTCAAGGGGGTAAGTCCGCAAATGGCTGTCATTTGGGTTGTAGCAACGTTTCAGAGGTCCTGCTGCCTCCATCAACAGGGCGATAAATAGACTACTGAAAACCCGGAAGATAGTCATCTATAGAGTCATTCAGCTACTTACAAAGTAGCAGAGTATTTCTTGAGAAGCTAATCGTCGCTTAGCTAGTTAAGACATCCCCCGAAGAGGTCGCCACCGGTCCATATTCTGAGCAAAAGAACAAGTTTAATATCATACTCCCATCTACGCTAAGGTCTTCCGAGTGGACTATTACCTTCAATCTTTCCAACCACAATATGCAAAGGAATTTCTCATAAATTTATTTGCGGTTCATTGAGAAATGCTGTCAATCGGTCAGACGATACGGAATAGAGAATTAGACAAACTGATGTTTGAAGGTTAAGTACAGATGCACGGAAATAGATATGTGCCTCCAACTGCGTCAGTCGGTCTAAACCACTGAAATTATATCGAAGAAATTTTACGTGAGT